ACCTGTTTACAACTCCTGCCTCCAAAATTAGATGTTAGGAAAACCTTTCTTTCCTATTTCAAGTTCCATCCTGTACCCTGCAACAAATTTGCAATATGGAATTCTCTTTTAATCAATATTATTCTTTTTTTTTTTTTTTGTCTTTTTTTTCCGTGTCCGGCAACGGATCGCAACCCTCAGTGTTGCCCCCGTACCGGACCGGGGACCGGCAATGGGATCGCAACCCTCGGTGTTGCTCCCGTGCCTCGCTCAGCCAGTGAGCGGGAACCGGTCCGTATGTGGGATCCGAACCCTCAGGCGGGAGCACCACCGCGCTTCCCAAGCGGCACACTATCCAGTGCGCCACCGGGCCGGCCCTCAATATTATTCTTTATATAGTATTTTTTTACTTAAATGTGTGCACATTAAAAAGTAGTGACATAACACCCCACTGAGTTAAATCATGAACACCTTTGCCATTTGTGTTCTGAAAAACTAATTAATAACATCTCTTCATCTAGTTTGATGTTTCCATATACATTGTGCCCTGCTTTAGGAGTATTCTGGGGCCACTGATCAATGCCACATCTTAGAGCTTCTATTTCAATTTTGTGCTATTACAAACACATGAAGGAAGATACCGAAAGAGTAGGTCTCTAGCCTCAGGGTAGAAAGTAGAATGCATTGGACATATACCTTATAATAGCCTTTTAAGCAGTAATTTAATTGGTGAGAATTTTGTTTATTCATCTGGGTGGTGTTTACAAGAAAGTTTCCCTGGGTCACCCAAACTTATGGAAAATCAATTTAGAGAGCAAATATGTTGCTTAATCTCAACTCTCTATGTCTGTATTTTTGCTATGGGCAGGGCATTAACCTATGTATTTCTCCATTTTCTCGTTCGTAAATTGAGAAGGATGGCCTACGTGACTTTCAAGGTCTCTTCCAGATATGAGAACCTTTATAGTACTTTGTACTTAAGAACAAACATCATAAAAAATAAAAATACATGGTAATTGTCACTTTCTTACTCATTTTCAAAATCAATAAGTTTGAGTTGTTCAAATAACATAAAAGTACAACATAAATCTGAATTGCAGATCATTTCTTCCTATAACATATAGTCCAAAAAAGTTCAGTGTTAATTGGTGATTACCATTTAGTTAGTTAAATGCTGATATTTAGATGGCATATTATAACCTATAACTAGGCAATATTTCGTGGAGCTTTCATAAATTGAACTCAAGTATCACAAACACTACATTTTGGGGTTAGCACGATGCATGAAATGCTCAGTTATGTGATAATGCAGCAGAGTAGTCTAGAGAAAAAGAAAACTCCGAAGCAGTGGCAAGGTCAGTGCTAGGTAACAGCTTCTCCCAGTAATTTCTGGTCTATCGGTGCAGAGATTTGACTCTGGAGTTTTGGGTGACTTAGGGAACTAAAATTATGCTGGTAATTTATATATGAGGGATAAATCTGAGAATTGATGAGGCTGGAGAAAAACTTTCTTACATACTTATTATGCACCCCAGTCTTGTCTACAGACCAGAATATTCAACAGTCTTCTTCTTCATATGGGCCTTCTACACTTAAGCCCCACACAGACACTGGCAAACTCAGCATGTTCACAGATGAAGGTATCATGTGCCCCTTTGCCACAACCCCTCCCCAAACCCTCTGCCAGCCCTGACCAAGTGACCCCTTTGGTGAGGGGTACCACCGTCACACCCAGTCACCCAAGTCAGAACCCTGGGAAGTCATCCTTATCTCATTCTACCCTTCATGCCTCACACCCATCCATTCAACAAAGGAATCAGGGCCAAAGTGTGTACATGTGCTGCACCCAAAAGAGAGGTGTGCGCCTGGCAGATGAGTAGGTGACCGACTGTCCTGAGACTGATCATCCAAGTTTTAACACTGAAAGTCTCACTTCCCAAAAAACCTTTCTGTCCTGGGCAAACCAGTGGAGACCAGTGGTTACCTGGAGAGGAAGGAATTTGGGAGCATGTAAACAGTTGGAAAGCTTTCCAATAGGAATTTCTCTACTCCAACAAGTTAGAGGATGGCACGACTGTACTTTATAATAATAGCGCTATTGTATAATATTTTAAGTTAAATTTAAAACCTCAAAAACATACAAATACTGCCCAAAATTTGGTGGGATAACACATAGACAAAGTCATCTTTTCAAAAAATTTAAAATGGAATTTTAACTCTTTGACTTAAACATAACTGGATCCAGCCATATCAAGAATTATGCTAAAGAAGAGAACAACACTTATCAAGTTTAGCAACTGCATCTATATTCCTTTCTAGTAATAAAGCTAACTATCAATTTAAGTAATGCTTCTGCATACCTTGATCACGTGTTAGCATGTGAAACTCTTAGCTAAGACTAGCTCACTGCAAAACTTGTATAATTTAAACGGTATAATTTTCCAGTGGCTTTAATCAAACAACCTTCTCCTATCCCATTAATCAACATTGAAAAACACATTCGTTTTTCTGAGTATACATACAAAAAAGAAAATGGTTCATGTGTTTATAAAGAGTTATTTTTTGCTACAGATTTTAGCTGTGACATCTATTAACAAAGTGATTTATAGTTGCAATAAATAGCAAGATCTACTTGTTACATGTTCGGTCACAGGTAGTGAGCACCAGTTAGTATTCACTGATGAATATATGAATGGATAAAAATATTAAAAACATCCACACATATACCATAAAATGTATGAAGTAGGTTTAACCTATCTCTCAATTTTTACTTTTGTGATATAATTGAGATAAAATCTAACATAACATAACACTTGAAAGTATACCATTTATGGGCTGGCCCGGTGGCGCACTGGAGAGTGCACCGCTTGGGAGCGTGGCAGCACTCCCGCCAAGGGTTCGGATCCCATGTGGAGACCGGTTCCCGCTCACTGGGTGATCGCAGTGCGGGCGCAACACCGAGGGTTGCGATCCCATTACCAGTCAGTAAAAAAGACAAAAAGGAAAAAAAAAAAGATAGTATACCATTTATGAGAGAAATAATATGATTTTAGCTTATTTGGGAAGAAAGGTGTTTGAAGAAATAAAAAAGCTCAAACTCAAAAGTAAAAAAGCTACTGGTTTCTAAAACACCAAATCTTTTTGTTTTTAGGTGACTGACTTTTAGAAGAACAACAAATGAGCCACTAAAACAAGACAAATTACAAATCTGCTTTTCATTTTTTGTTTGTGTTTGCTTTTTTGCTTTAATTATATATAAGCCTCAATTCAATCAGAGTATCAGGATGAGAATTAATGAGATATTCCCTGTGACTTTTCCAATCCTTTCTAATTAACTTGATTAAGGAAGCAATTTAAATGTTTCAAGGGAGGTGTGAACTTTCAGCTGAGGGTTTGAATAAGGGGAACAGATGGATGAACTCCATTCAACAAGCATTTATTAAGTGCCTCCAATCAGATCCCCACTGGTGAGATTGTGCCCATGTGTCTGGAGGTCAACACGTATGTAGTGGCCTCCAGCCCAACCCCCAAAGCTGGAAGTAGCCCCAATGCACCATTCACACACCCCCCCTTCCTACACATGGAACAGCTGGTGCTGTGAGTGTGAGGACCTACAAGCAAGATCAGGCCTCTGTGGAAGCTTCTGTGAGTGAAATCCACTGGGGATTCTAGGAAGGAGCACTGTGGCTTCAGGATGAGTGGAACAGAGCCTCTCGTGGTGGTGTTGAGCTGACCTTATACAACAGAGAAAGACACCTCCATGCACCATGCCAGGTGCGAAGCACCATGCTGTTTATTTTAAGTTTCTTTGTAAGAGGACCTAAAGCCAAGCAGTGACTAAAAATTTGAAATGCATTATCTAGTCATAGAACATTAGAATTAAAAAAAAAAAAACCAAGGGGCCGGCCCGGTGGCGCACTGCTACAGTGCGTCACTTGGGAGCACGGCAGCGCTCCCGCCGAGGGTTCAGATCCCACATACAGACCGGCCGTTCACTGGCTGAGCGAGGCGCGGGCGCAACACCGAGGGTTGCGATCCCGTTGCTGGTCCCGGTCCAGTACGGGCGCGACACTGAGGGTTGCGATCCGTTGCCGGACATGAAAAAAGACAAAAAGGAAAAAAAAAAAACCAAAAAGATCTAGTCCACCACTCAACTAAATTCACTTCATCTGCTTCCCCCAACTACATCTCCAAATGTATAAATGTTTTGCTCCTGTTTTAAATATTCAAGGTTTGGTGTCTGTACAATATCTTAATAACTCCACTGTTTAACTGCTTGATAGATCGAGAGGACATAGGTTAGGTGTGTCCAAATGGGCGTTGTGTAGCAAATTAGGCTGAAATGCCACAGCTGTAAAAATTCTATCTTCTGTTTACCTACCCTTAGTGCCAAAGTACCTGATCATATATAGGATGATGTTAAATCATCCTTTCTTTTTTTAAATTTTTTAATCTAATTGCACATAAAGTATGAAAATTTTATCCTCCTGTCTTACAGTCTGTATCTTTGTCATAGCCTACCACACTAGGGCCAAAANAAAAAAAAAATAAAGCATAAAACAGAGGTTCTGAAGAACAATTCATCAATATAAATAAGTCATTGTCCTCTACCGCCAGTGTGACTTACAATTATGTGCCCACATCTGTCTTTTTAGATACCTAAATTATTCATGAGGATTGTAAATAGTCTTCATGCGTATATTTGGGCTTTTAAAAAACCTGCCAAGGCAAGTGCACGGGCTAAAAGAATACACCTTCCTGTTTCCTTTGGTTACCTCTGTTTAAAAAATCACCCCTGAGAAAAGCCTCTAAGAAATGCCTCGAGTGGTAGTTTCTGGAATCGAACTAAACATATTGCTGCACCATGGGGGAAATTTTTTTTTAAAGCAAGGCAAGGTGGACTGTAGTGTCAATCGCACAGTGACATGTCAATGGAGGAGGAGTTTCTTTCCCGCAAACTCAATAAAAGGTCAGCTCAACTCCCACCGTGAGGTAGACGCTGCTCCATCCATCCTGAAGCTATGTGCTACGCCCCAAGATTCCCCGACGATTTCAGTAGCAGAAGCTTCCATGGAGATCTGCGTTTCGCCCTGGAGGACGCTGCATTCAGCACGAGGAGGTCCATCTACAGGAAATGGGGCGTGCAGTACCGGGAGTTTACACCCAGCGTCTATGGAGGCGCTGGAGGCTTCGGGACCCGCGTCTCGACCCCCAGATTCTTGGGGAGCTGTGGGAACGATTTTATCATCAGCTGCGGAGGCCTATTTGTTGGCAATGAGAAAATGACCATGCAGAACCTAAATGACCGTCTGGCAAGCTATCTAGAAAAGGTGCGGTCCCTGGAGCAGTCCAACTTCAGTCTAGACGTTCAGATCAAACAGTGGTGCCAAACCAACGTGCCTAGCACCGGCCGGGACTACAGTTCATATTACAAACGAATCACAGAGCTGCAAGATCAGGTGAGGAAGGATGCTTGTGCTTTCTACTCCACTGTTTAACTGCTTGATAGATCGAGAGGACATAGGTTAGGTGTGTCCAAATGGGCGCTGTGTAGCAAATTAGGCTGAAATGCCACAGCTGTAAAAATTCTATCTTCTGTTTACCTACCCTTAGTGCCAAAGTACCTGATCATTTATAGGATGATGTTAAATCATCCTTTCTTTTTTTAAATTTTTTAATCTAATTGCACATAAAGTATGAACATTTTATCCTCCTGTCTTACAGTCTGTATCTTTGTCATAGCCTACCACACTAGGGCCAAAA